TTCCAACATTATTTCCAATACTGTATATTTCTAGGTATTGTTTTTCAATGAATCGGAAATACTACTGGTGTTAGTTTGATTTCATATCGTTGCGTACAAAACCGGAAAATGAAGAAAACGTGAGTTCTAAGTTTATCTCAGAAACTACAAAGCTTCAAAGACATTCCAATTTATTTGATGGACCTTTAAGACTCTCCAACTAGCAGTGCAAATTTAATCCTGAAATAGCTTTTCGTTATCTTTCATTGAAACGTACTTGTTTACTTTCAAATACCACTCCATCTTTCCGGTCTAAGCTGATTATTTGATATTCCGAGTTGGCGTACTGCGCGGGCTTAATTATCTTATGTATATTTAGATTAGACATATGTTTTTACTCGCTCAGGTACGTTTAAAATTCCAGCCTTTACAACCGGTGGTTAGGGCGCTCGACTCGCAATCTGAGGGGCGTGGGTTCGAATCCCCGTCACACCATACATGCTCGGCCTTTCAGCCATGGGGGCGATGTAATGTGACGGTCAATCCCACTATTCGTTGGTAAAAGAGTAGCCCATGAATTGGCTGTGGGTGATGATGACTAGCTGCCTTCCCTCTAGTCTTTTACTGCTAAATTAAGGACGGCTAGAGCAGATAGCCCTCGTGTAGCTTTGCGCGAAATTCAAAACAAACAAACTTACTTGATAAGGTTACAGCCAGGGGTGAAACTCTCAAAAAAGAAAAAAAATGTAGAGGTACTCAGTTGGGTGAAATAGACCTGTTTTTAAAAAAAGAAAAAATCTACGTGTAAACATAAAAAAACGACAAAACAGCTCAAATAAGTCTCGGTACTAGTACTGCCTTCAAAAATAAGTTTCGTTACTCAGTACCGGCAGAATTTCACACCCGGCTACCACAGTAACTTTGGAAACCTGTTGACTTTGAGTCGGTATAGAATCGAGCTTTGATTTTTAACCTACGTTTTTTCTGCAAACACGCGGATTTATTTTATATACGTAGTCCTCATTATCAGTTGTACTTATTAAATAGATTCTGATATTTAGATTGTTCTGCAGCTTTGAAATTTTTGTAACCGCAATGGTTATTCTATTCCAATAAACGTCGGAAAATATATTGCTAATTACTCAACAAATATCTCTAGTCTTAGAAATCACTCAAACAAGATAATTCTCTTTAATATTTAAGTATCAAGGCTTAGTATGAATCAACTGAAATACACAATTTCAAGCCTTGGGAAAGCAATTCACTCAAACCTAATTATTTCCCGTCATCACTGAACACCATTATAAATACTGTGCAGTTCCCCAGTGGGACAGCGGTAAGTTTACCGGGGTTCGATTCCCCGCGGTTGACAGAGCAAATTGCCCAATGTGGTGGCATTAAAGTAAACGACTCCGAGTTACCACTAAGCACTACTATAAGTGCATCAGTTGTTTAAATTACTAATTTTTTATTTCTCGAGTAATTTCACAATAACATTTCTGATGACTTTCACTATCAATTTGTCTTTGAATAATTTTTAGTCGTGATCTTAAATATCAGTTGGTTTATTTATTTAACTTTTGTATTATTACTATAATTTAGTATCATTTTCAACTATTTTTTCATTATTCAATATAAATTAATTTCAGTGATCTTCATGAACAGAATTTCTAAAACCTTAACATAGCGTGACCTTATAACTTTACACATGACTCGCTTGTTTAGCCGTTTAGTGGCTCAACGGAAAGCTTAAGGGCTTATGATGTTAAAAAACGGGGTGTGATATCCGCAATGAGCACAGCTGTGATAGCTCATTTTGCATCTGGTCGCTTGAAAACAAACAACGCCCTTGTTGAAAATGAAAATAGTAGATGCAAGTTCTATGGTAAAACATCTTATTGCACTTGGTTATTCCCAAACCTTTAATTACATCAAGCATAGGTGTAATATATATATATATATACGTTCTATTCCTTTCCCATTCCATGGGTTTAAATGATTTCCAAGTACTCATACTGTACACCTTGTGAGTGTTTTATACAAAGAGTGGTTTAGATTGATAATATGAAAATAAAGCAGCTGAGAAAACCAAACCTATATCGCGACTACATGAAAATTCGAGTAATATTAGTTTATATCAGCCCACCTTAGCCACCATAAGCTAAATTTTATACTTACTCTGAGTTTCTAGTTTTATTTGAAGTGTTTGTAAACGTATACGTGTTTAGAACAGCCAAAATGAAAGGTCTGTTTTCATTCGTCTTCTCTCTCTCTCTTTTCCACTATCTTATAGCTACTTTTAAAAATATATACGATCACGCTCTTATAATTTTGTAAACACTTTTTGCACTTATACTTTTAATATATATAATTTTTTTATTAAACGCTTATTGTTGTTTTAAGCTTTCTGATACTATTGTACTCAATTTTCTATACATTTCTAATTCAAAAATTTCATATTCTTTTTAAATGTAATATATTTTAACAGCTTTCACAAGTTGACTTCATTCCTAAGTCCCTTCTGCGGTGTAGTTGAGACAAATAAATCAATTTTTTATTGACTATGGAAGATACTGCTCATTTTCAGAAGAACTCAAATTATCCGTATTGTGCAACACCCTAGAATGTTTTCAGTTAGCTTTAAATTGCGTTATTTCACCATACAAATTCTGTTTACTCGTTTAACTTTTGAAAGTATGACAAAGCTGGAATCTCAGTTTTATTCAAACAACAAATTCTGCTCTTCTACGTGTCTGTTACACTTTTATTATTATATATATATTTTTTTCTTATCAAAATCTATAGTGCACACTGGAGAGATATACACATTTTGATAAAATGTTTGGAAAAAAACGACCTTTATACTCCAGATATATTGAAAATATTTTTCAAAATTTTAACCAACGTTTCGCCTTTGCGGCTTCATCAGGGTTAATATACATATACATAACGCCCCCCAGTGGTACAGCGGTATGTCTACGGACTTACAACGCTAAAATCCGGGTTTCGATACCCGTGGTGGGCAGAGCACAGATAGCCCATTGTGTAGCTTTGTGCTTAATAACAAACAAACAATATACATAACATAATTTAACGAATATTATAATATCAAACAGTTGTGTATATTAACCCTGATGAAGCCGCAAAGGCGAAACTCTGGTTAAAATAAAAATCTTCTTTTATATATATCTGGAATATAAAGGTCGTTTTTCTAAACTTTGTTACTTATATTATACAGTGGGATAAGAACTGGTTTCAAGATTTGTATTTGGACATTTTATGATAACTGAGAAATTACGAAATAGAAAATATTAAATGATACCATCAAATTTTTAAACAGAGTTTATAACTTAACGAATATTAAAGATTCTCTTGACTAAAATGTCTCATGGTTGCCAAACTCAAATAATATTTCAAACTGTCTTTATATAAGGTAATATATGTTTCGCTTTCATAATTAGTAGTATATATAAGTACTCAATTCTCATCATTTTGATTATTAATACATTAATAAATATTTTGATCATGTTAATTACCAATCAGTTTCTATCCTACGTTTAGGCTACTAACAGCTGTAGGAGAGTCCCGAGAAGACTTGTAAGAGGCAGGAGAATGTTTGGAAAAGATATCTGAATGTTCAGATATCTTTTCCTATTAGGAGTTGAATAAATTAATTATTTGAATGGCTTTAATTAAGAGGGATATCCAAGTTTTGTTGACTTCTATGCTAGGTTGGCTGAGTCTGTTATCAGTTAGGGAATGTAGAAGGTTTCTTTTATTCTCCTCGTGCGTGCTTCTTACCCCTTCATGTGAGTATATTTTCATTTTATTATATACACCCCTTCGCTAACATGGTGAGCTGTTGCAAGTAAATTAGTATTACAGAGTCTTACATGTTTATTGCACTTATGAATTCTAACTACTGTTGGTATTTTTGTTTTTCCAATATACTGGAATTCAAATTCACTAAGGGACGTTTTAAGTTGTGTTCTTATTTTTTTTCTCTCATTTGGGTCTTTACGTGGTTTTACTGTGTACTGACTACAATCTTACTATGTTGTGGCTTCAGAAACCTTTCCTGACTTTATGCTATTTCCATATTTTTATATGTTTAAAGAGACGTCATTAACATGATGAAATACGGCCGTGGGTCTGTAATTTTCTCTGTGCTTATTCTTTGTGTTCGTTTTTTCATTTTTTGATTTATCATGATCGTATACGTTACTATGATAACAATTTATATCCGATCGCCAGAATCTCACCGTAAGTACATCACCAGCTTTGTTGTATATGCTTGAGTTTCTATAAAACCAAGAAATGTAATGTTAGTCAGTAATCTGAAAGCTTTCTAACATAGTGCTTGAGCTTAAGAAATGTATGATAAGCTATAATTTAACTTCATAAATACAACTTCATTATCCAAAACAATTTTCATTCAAGCATTCCTACATCAGATTGGATTTTGAGATGATTTTACTTGGCTTTACATGAGATTCGTGGAGTTTCCAATAAGAAATACTTTAAAGGTAGGTTGTCGTCCTAAAACATACCCGTTACCCTCTCAATTATGTGGTGGGCTATTCTGTCAACAACAAATAAAATATATAAACCATTCTTGAATGATGATTTTATATGCTCTCTGTGTACCATATCCAAACAGGACGTTGGTGACCATGGTCTTCCACTGATCTCTTCTCCTTGGAGCACAAAGAATTTCGAATGTCAATACATTAATCCATTTAGATAGACACTATATAGACAAATATTATCATGATAACCAATTGAACATGATTCAGTACATTAAGGCATCCTTACTTATTAACGGCAAGATGAAATGTTCGTACACAAGAAGCTCTGTAAGAACATTGTTAGCAATTAATTTACACAATGATATCGATAGTTCTGAGAGTTAAAGTTTTAAGTGCAAAATGTACTTTAAGTAAAGACAATGCTCAATTAAGCTTAACCTAAGTTTCAATTTTCAAATATGGATACCTAAAGATAATGACAAAGACTCTTACCTTTCAAGAGTTACGGCCACTAGGTTAAGGACAGAAGCAAAGGCAGAAACCATCTCGGCATAGGCTGCTGTCCTGCAGATGGTTCCATCTTTATCCCACTGTACAACAAAGTAATGAGCGACATCTAGTGGAACATAGATAACCAACAGTAGGAGATCGGCAACAGCGAGGCTGACGAGGAAGATACTGGTGACGTTCTTTGATGCGCTGTCACATGCCATCACAGCAATGACGACGATGTTTCCTGTGACGCCAACTATGAATGTAATGATATAAGTGGTCATAATGAAAGGAAAATAGGAGTTGATCTTCCACGGTGTTAACATTTCCTCTGGGTGGGCAAAATAGATGACATCACCTCGAGGGTGATCTTCGATTGTAATGTTCGAAATATTTCCCATTATAGACTGAATCAAGTTCTCGTTATTTTCTAGCAAGGAATAAAACTCTGTCATCTTTATGCTGCCATTCATGATTACTAACTTACAAGTATCTACTATACTCAAAAACCTTTTCTAATAAACCATTTCGAAATATGGTAGAAATGTTCAGATATTTTCTCCAGTCATATTATCTGAGAAATTGGATACCTTCAATACTTCATTGCTTGGTTTTTCACCGTTGTCGCTCTGCAGCTTATCACTCATGTAAACACGTGTTGTGCGAAGGATAGTTGGTCTTCTTTTCAATATAAATTTCAGAATCGCTGAAAATAAACAAACACTGACTTAATCTACAAGAAGAAACTTAAACTTACGGCAATCTTGGAGGTTGTAAAGTCACAGATTCACGCAAAAAAACCCAATAAGAGCCGAAAAAATAAAACGTTCCTTTGTGGAAAGCTAACCAATAATTAAAAAAAAAGAAAAAGTAAAATGAGTTCTCAAAAAGTATTATTTGTTAACACCAGATAACAAACGCCAAGGTTGTTAAATTGTTATAAGGGGAGAAGTTAGGATCATTAAATTAGAATGTATCAAAATAACCTAAAATGTTTGTAATGCCATATAGAAGAATAACTCACGAGATTTATATAAAAGAAACATACAGCTACTAAAATTTTGCAATGAAAATGGACCACTATACCAGATCATGCTTTGTCTGTTTATGAGATGAATTAAAGATTCTGTGTCAGATACAAGTATATTTATACATACCAACTGATTCGCCAACACACTCCGAAGGTATTAGCTCCTTTTGCTTTTCTACGTGAGTATTAACGATTTTCGTTTGACTGACGTTACTCTAATAGGTAAGAGTTGTTAATCAACATAAAGTTTCCTAACACGTTACTCTAAAAGGTAAGAATTGCTAATCAACATAAAGTTTCCTAACATCTTGCTTTAACCCCAAAGATAGATCTCCGCCTGGAAACAAGGCCAACAGAGTATGTATGAGTTCACCAAGATAAGTCTTCCAGTCATATCTCCCATTCAACCGTCGCATACCTCAAACATCTGGAGAACGAAATGGGTACATTTAACACGTTATTTCATACGAAGACGTGCGGGTCAAGTCGTCGGATCAGCACCTATGAGTTTTTGTGCAATCGGATTGTTGAAACGGGCGTTGGGAAACCCTTGTCCTAGTACACTAGATGAATCATGGAATAAAGAATAATGTGCTTTGTACATGACAATGGAGCCTTTTGGAATAGAAACTACGCAGCAGGGCTATTACCAAGAATTAGATAGAGCATGATATGTCCAGACATGGGGCATGGACTGTATCGACGTGGTGAGGTTTCAAAATCATTTTGATATAACGTACAGAACTTATGTATAGCGACATCCTAAGTTTATCTGTTTGTCTGGTGGTTATTAAAAAACCCGAAACTGCTCAATATATATATATTGTTACGTCTCCGTTTGTTAATTAACTTTCCGTAACTTCGTTCCGACGAAACTTAAGCGACACAAGTCTATTCTTAATAAAACTGGTTTATTCTTTCCGAATATAACTTTACCAATACACTCAACTTCAACAATCGCGCTAAACAAACGCTGTAACGTCTCTCGTGCTCTCTGACTGCAGTTCAATTACTCACTGTCTATCACACATTACATTACCCTCTTTTATATACCCGACTACCCTATATCTAGTAAATACTAGAGCATTCGCCAAAGTACAGGATAGTTCTAGAAACTAGAGGGCGCCACACCAGTCACGTGACCTCGATGACGCAACAATATTATATACATATACATATGTAAAAACGTTTCGTTGATGTTTGAATTCAAACAACATATGAAAATTACCCAAAGTTCAAAATGTGGTTACTTCCTCTTTTATATATCATGACAAGCGTATAACCCATCAACAATCGCGGGGCAAGTACTGCCACCCCCACCCCATAGTTAATTGAAATAAATAAATTTTGCGAAGTCAAGCTCGACCAACAAAGAGGCAGAAAAGTGCGGTCGAGGCAGTCAAACGTCAGTAAATTCTTTTGTGAGCCAATCAAAATTAAGATAATTCATGAAAATAATTCGTGGCGTTTTCATAGAGTAATTATTGGTAAAAATCAGTTAGATTAACAACTTCTAATACATGAAAAAGCCAGTGCGTTTGGGTAAC